CTCCTGGCGGCCTCGCGGCGGCGCCAGGGAACATTTATGTAACTGTGGTCCTTTCGAGCCAAGAGCCCCTGGCCAGTCCCACCTCCCGCTAAATCCCCAGGACACACTGCATCCCCGCGCCCCCAGCTTCACTGTGAAGCCTCGCACAAGGCTTAAGCCCCCTCACCCTGTATGCAGGGTCGCAGTTCCGGAGCCCCCTCTGGACTTTGCCTTGGCCTTCAGTTTCCCAGGCACTTCCCTAACCTTACTGAGACACGGACACAGCCTAGCTCTGGCCCCGCCCCCTACAGTGGTTGGCCTTCCTTCAGTTTCCTTCCCCTGCTTCCCTGCCCACCCAGTCAGAGTGCCTCAAAGTCAGCCGCCAGCCCCCTTCCTCCCACCCAGGCTGCCTGGACAAAGCCTAACCCCTATCTTACCGGGTGGCTCCAGTCACCTCCCCGTGCACCTGTATTCCCCATCCAACATCCTGTTCCCTGGTCCCTTTTAGTTTCTGAGAATGGGGTCCCCTGAGGGCTTTGGGATTCTTCAAAAAGACCAGCTTTCCATAGGGACCTGACTCTCTAATCCAGCTACCTTCTTGAGATGACCAGTGTCTTTCCTTTTGAGTTAGGCGACACCTCATCCTTGGGGGCTGCTGCATTGGACTCAGGAGGGCGCATGCGGGATTCCAGTCCAGCAGTGAGGGGTTTTAACCATTGCACTCCCTTTGCCGTACTGGAAGGTGGGGTCACCAGCTGTGGTGCTGGGCTTGCCTGTGTAGGGTGTCCTGTGATTAGTTCAGTCCAGCCACTCCACCCGGAGGCCAGTCTCCAGAACAGCGCTTTCAGAGTGATGCTGGAGGGTGGGTACCTGTCGGCACCTGAGACCCTTGCATGGCACCATGAGCTAAAACTGTTGACTGCAGTGACAGTCTCTTACCTTTGCTCTTCCAGGCTGTGTGATCCTTGATGGCCTCACTCTGGGCAGCTGCTGGAACCTGAGCTTGGGTGTTGTTTGTGTTGTGTCTTCTCTTGGGGTGAGGACCATGTCCTGCAGGTCCTGCCTTAAGCATGTACTCGGCGAAGGTACTTAATTCCCACTTTCCTCCCCAGTGGGAAACTCCAGTGACAAGTCTGCTCAGATGCTGCCCTTGTCTGCAGCCCTGACGTTACCTGGCCCATCTTTCATAGTACCCACCTCATAGGCTTCCCGAGATATGAGCAGAAAGATCCGGAAAAGGACAAGGATCCAGGGCTCTTAGGAATCCAAGAGAATCTGAGTTCAGTGCATTCTGACTCCACCCGGAACCCAGCTCCCACCCCACTCCAGTCTAAGAAGACCGGCATGGGGATAGCACGTAATAGCCATTTTGGACCACGGCAAGCCTGGTACCAGAGCTGGTTGTGTACAGCCTGTCGCATCACCATGTGGGCCCTTCTGTGAGAACGGGACAGCATGTTTGTCTCCGGTAGCTGCTGTAACAGAACCAGTGGAGAGCTGAAAGCAGCTGAACGTTACTTTTCAGATTTCCTGAATGGAACCAGAAGTCTCAGAGCAAACTGCTGGCAGGGATGGTTCTTCCTGGAGGCTCCAAGGAAGACCCGCCGGCGGCCGACCCTCCTCACTTCCAGTCCTGGAGCTGGCCACTGAGAACTTAGGGGTGGGTTGGTCCAGTCTCTTAGCGCCATCTCCCCGTTACTTCCCTCTGTAACTTGTGGCTTCGTCTCAAGATTTTACCCCAATTTTATCTACAAAGACTTCTACCCCCCCCCCATTTCAAATTAGGCTACCTTACAGATTCTGGGGGTTCGGGGTGGGCTGTCTCTTTTCTTTGCTCATCCTACTGCAAGCCGTCTGGAGCTTGTCTGGTATCATACCATCGGTATAATGGAGACCGGGTCTGACCTGACCGCAGTGAGGCCAGACCTTCCCAAGGTGCTGCTGCTGATTAATAGGCCCCCTGAATGTCCGAGAATAGAATTAGCATGTGACGTTTTTCACCGGTTTGTTGATAAGACACCCCCCCCCACACACACACCCTGGAATCAGTGAGCAGTGTATTCAACATTGCCATTTCTTGGACCGTGGTTGGGTTAGATATTTTTAAAACTGTATTTAATAGATTTTTTTTATTGGGGGGGTGGTACATGTGGATAACATGTCACACATGTAAAGATCAGGAGATGACTTTTGGGAATTGGTTCTCTCCCTCCACTGTGTGGGTCTTGGGGGATGGAACGCAGGTCATTTGGCTTGATCAGGCGAACACATTTACCTGCTGCTCTTGTAAGTCCGAAGCACAGAAAAGCTTATCATAAAACTGTGTTCAATTTAATACTATTCCCCTGATCTGATTTTAGTTGTCCTGATGGGTATTATTTAAAAAAAAAAGTATGTGTGTGGTATATATAATATACATTTCTGTTTCTTAATTTCTCAGATTAATCTGTTGTTTTCATGCTATTAATTTAAGAATTTATCTCACTCCTACCCTTATGCCCACCCTCCTCCTGAATTGATGAATATGTAATTTTAATTATTACATTATTTTAAAACCCCACCGTGTACCTTTCTACCTTTCCTTGGATGCCACGTTTTCTGATGGGGTGATGGGATTTGTCTGTGACACTGATTCTGCACAGTGTTGAAATCTAGCAGTGGCGTGTGGGACTGATAGGCAGTTGACTGACCTGCTGAGGCCTGTGCTGGGGTTCTATTTACTTCTACCTTTTCATGGGGTTGTTGAGAAAGATAAGTACTTCTACATAGGAAAAGCGGCCGGAGCCTTTGCACACTTCACTGGTTGCACGCCGGTACTTGAGTGTGCTTCTCATTGGATCGTTGTTGTCTTGTGTCCAGATTGCTCCTGTATTTACTGGAGTTCACAGTCACCTTTAAGAAAAAAAAAAGAAGGAAGAGTAGTATGCCTTTGCCATGTCCTCAAGTTTATCTAATGTCTTGATCATGCTCTCTGCACAGAACTACTTTCTTCCTAGGATCATCCCCCGTGGGCCTCGGCCCCTGCCTCCCCAAGCCTCCGGCTTGCCCTTCACTCCTGGTTTCCTTTTGTTGTTGTTGTTGTTGTTGTTGTTGTTGTTGTTGTTGTTGTTGTATGGAATATATAACACGTAAACTCCCCATTCCCTGCCCTCCAGCGTGTCCAGTATGACATAGACATGTAGTGTCTTGTTCTGGTGTGGATAGCCTGATGTTTGTTTGTCACGTACCACTCATTAAGGGTTGAGATCTCATTTTTTACTCACTGTTGTAATTATGCAGAACTTCTCGTAGCAAGGGATGCTCTTGTGCACTCAGCTCACACCTCTGCCTGATTCTCCCAGCATCCTCTCCTGTTACTCTCTGCGCCCCTGCCACACACACTGACAACAAATTGTCTTCCTTTCCACTTAGCAATTTCCTGCATTCTCGTTTTCTTTTCTTCTGTTTTGCCAGTCTATACTTCTTATTAGATAAAAACCCCTGTACTGATTCCTGGAGCTCTCAACTTTTAGTCCTCTGCTGTCTGTTAAAAACAAAAATTCCGCCAGGCAGTGGTGGCACACGCCTTTAATCCCAGCACTCAGGAGGCAGAGCCAAGCGGATCTTTGTGAGTTCGAGGCCAGCCTGATCTAAAGAGTGAGATCCAGGAAAGGCCCAAAGCTACACAGAGAAACCCTGTCTCCAAAAACAAACAAAACAAAACAAAACAAAATTCCATGAAAAGCTAGGAATCTACTCATAGAACAGTCTTGGAAAATAGAACCAAAAAGTAACCATTCATGGCCATGCCCCAGGTTGCTTGGTTTTGAATCACCTCTCAGTATCTCTCCCCATGATGTGAAAATTAATGAGGAACACATGCACCACACAGGGCCTTGTCTTCAGCAGTCCCAGGAGATGGAACAATGCAACATTCACATATTTTCTAGAATTGTTTTTTGTTTTCAGTTTTTCAGGATAGTTCTTTGAGTATATCTCTAGCCTTTTAGAATTATTATTTAGTCAAGAATCTATTTAATTTCGGTGCTTTTTTTTCTTTCTGAAGTTGATTTTTATGGCATTCTCTTTGTTCTGTGCATCCCACTGTATCTCAGATTCTGTTGAGAATACTAACTAGAAATTAGAGGTTAATATTTTGTTTCCTGGCTTCTCTCTTTTTCCCCTGGAGTTGGTGGCTTTGTTGCTTTTTCCTTTTCATGCTAGTGATTTTCGTTGGCTGTCAGGTGGCCCCCCAAGTGTCGGTTTATATTTAAGGTGAATGGATGGGCTGTGTGGATTTCCTTTGCTGGACTTAGGTGGGCTGGAAATCTTCCTTAGAGCCTCTGTAGGGCAAGGAAAAGGGAAAGCAGCGTGTGACTGCCCCAATACCAGGCAGGCTTCATTCTGGGGTGCCACCAAATGTGCATGCGTGCGTGCATAAGAGTTTGGGTAAATGCTAGCTTGTCTCTTGATCCGAGCAAGGAGTAGATGGGGTCTAGAGTGAGTGAATCCACACTACCAGAGTCGCCCTGTGGTCTGCCTTCTCCACGCCTGCCTAGGCCCCTGCTGGGCTGTTCTGAGCTATCTAACACCTTTGTATGTCATCCTGCTTGAGTCTGCAGGAGCCCTTTTGAAGTCTGTTGCATGCCTGGCCCGCCCTAGGACCCCCTGTCAGAGCAGGGGCAGTGTGCTGGCTGGCAGGCTCTGGGTAATGGCCTCTCTGACCACCTCTTGCTGGACAAGATGAAGAAGAGTGTCCCCTGGGGCCTGCACGTCCTTCCTACTCCCCTCTCAGGGCTAGGTACCACTGGCCCTGCCCGGGAGTCTTGATGGCATGCTTTCCCTGGCCTGAGCAGCGCCCCTGCCAGGGTCGGCCATGATGCTTGTTTCTTCCCCGGACCTGTCATCCGCTTGCATCTCAGGCGTGGGCTGAGAGCTGGTCACAGGGTGGGAAAATGAGCCTCGAGGGTGGCGGGAGGCAGTGGCCTGGCCGGACGGTGGGGTGTGACCGAGACTTAACCTCTGCCCCCGGTCTCCCGCAGGTGAGAGGCCCTTCGCCTGCAGCTGGCAGGAATGCAACAAGAAGTTCGCGCGCTCGGACGAGCTGGCGCGGCACTACCGCACGCACACGGGCGAGAAGAAGTTCAGCTGCCCCATCTGCGAGAAGCGCTTCATGCGGAGCGACCACCTGACGAAGCACGCCCGCCGCCACGCCAACTTCCACCCGGGCATGCTGCAGCGGCGCGGCGGGGGCTCGCGGACCGGCTCGCTCAGCGACTACAGCCGCTCGGATGCCAGCAGCCCCACCATCAGCCCGGCCAGCTCGCCCTGAGCGCCCGCCCGCCCGCGCCTGGACCGCGCCTCGCCCCCTCGGTAATAGGAAAGCTGAGCGAACTTGAGAAGTCCACAGCAAAACACTTTTCTTCACCTCAGGTGTCAATTTTTAACAAAAAAAAAAAAATTTGTTTTTTCAAAAAAAAAAATATATACACGACCCACAAATTGCACAATAGAGCTATCCACGAAGTTGAGATTCAGCGGTGTTGAAACCCCCCCTTTCTCAGGGATGGACGCGGTCCACGAGGTCAGTGAGGGCACGTCTTTCTGCCGCCTTACTCTGTACATAGATTTGCACTCTGGAGTTTTCTGTGAGGTTGGGGATCACTGGGGCAGAACAGGCCAGCTGGGAACAGATGCGGCCACTGACATTGTGCTTTTCCAGCAGATCCCCCCCCCCAAAGGCCTGTACCCCTCTTCCTGCTGACCACTCAGTTGCTGTCCTCTGCCCCTTGGCCTGGCTCAGAGCACAGGTGGGTCTGAGGGACTGGCCACCTCACAGGGATGTGGTAAGCCATGACAGACCATGGGAGCACGTGCCTGTGCAACTGTGGAGAAGGACATCTGCCTTGTAAGCGTGGTCCTGCCTGGCTTTCTGCCTGCAGAAATCCTCAGAAAAAATGGAGGCCAGATGCAAACCCCGCCTGGATTTGGGACACCATTGCTGCCAACAACCCAGGGAGGCGGCCTGGGCCCTGCCTGCCCTACAGAAGGCACCTGGGACCCGTCACCCTCACACCATGTTCTCAGACTGGGAAAATAGTGCCCTGGGCACGGTGTGCTGAAACTGCCCCCCACCCCCACCCCCCAAATTGGTGTTGTTTCATCCAGTTCCCCAAGTTCTCGTGCCCTGGGCCACTGTGGAGGCCTCTGTCTGCAGCAGGACCATCATGGCCCCCTCTGCCTCTTCAGTCTGTGTGTGTGGCCCCGTGGGTGGCAGCGCTCACATCCCACAGAGACCGCTGGTGGCAAAGGCATTATCGGCCAGACCTCCTCAGAGCAGCCCAGCAGATGTGATAGGAGATGATGATGATGATGATGATGATGATGATGATGATGATGATCCTGGAGAAACAAGGACTCTGCTTCTGCGGGGGACACCTGGTGAAAGTTGTGGGGGTCACCTTCTCAGAACCTTGAGTGGAGACTTGAGCAAACCCACGGTTCCACACTGTTGCGCTCCCCACTTCTGGTCCTCTTTTCTGCCTGCCCTGCCTCAGAGGACCCTAGCCACACCCAATCTGCAGGGCGGGGATGGGGGAGGGGCTGCCGGTAAAACAGCAGGAACCGGAACCGAAGCCAGGCCCGCCCTGTTTCTCCTGGAGCCCACGACGCCGGGGCTGGGCTGCATTGGCTTCAGGTGTTGGGCCTCCTTAGCAAGACGATGTTCTGGTCGCTCTTCTGCAGATCCTTGGAGTGTCCATCTACTCCCGCCCTGCAGAGACCCAGACATTTCCTCCCCTTCTCCTAAGAGCTGAGGCCTAGGAACATAAGGCCCCAGGACTGGATATATATGTGTATGTGTGTACGTGTGTGTGCGTGTGTGTGCGCGCGTATGTATTTGGGATGGACTTGAGGTGTCCGACAGAGACCTCTCTTCATTTTGATGTGGAGGATCAGCCCTTGTGACTCAGAGGGCCAGAGATGGGCTTCCTGGGCCCAGAGTGCCTTGGTTGTGGTCATTCTGCCTGTACCCCAGCCCTCACACAGTGTAGGGGGGTAGCACAGGGAAAACCCCGGAGACCATGCCCAGCCGGGTCTATCTGCAGTTTCTGGCTGTTGTCATGTGACCGCCTTGTGGATCTGGGACACCACTTTCTAACTTCCCGTGTCAGCTTTGAGAGGCTAATGGCATAGGGTGGCTTCTAGGAGCGCAGTAGGTGCTGAGCTGGGCTGTGGCATTGTTGCTGCCGAAAGCAGGTGTGGTGGGTGTGGGGGGTCCCTTGCCCTGGTCCAGTGCAGGGCTGGTGACAGCCCTGCTTGCATTTCATCTGGGGAAGAGAATGGAATATGTGGTCGGGACCTAGACTGAAGAGAGCCCTGGGTGCTTGGGGTGTGGCGCTCTTCATGCTCAGTTCCAAAGCGTCGTCCCTCCCAAAGTCGGTGTGTGAGGCAGAGAAAGCCACACTCTGAACACATTTCACGTCTCAGGAATTCACATTCCAGATTCAGGAATTTTATTCCAAAGTCCTTTGGTGCACCTGCATCCACGCTTCTGAAGACAGAGGGAGGCAGCAGTGTGCCTCAAAGGCCAGCCGAGGCCTCTGTCTCCTTGTGCTCTCCCCCAGAGTCACAGGAGGAGCCTTTCCAACTCCGCCACTGCCTGCCTGCACCTAGGAAGGGTAAAAAGGACTCTAAGCCCCATCATCTTGGAATAAAAGAAAGAGCTGGTTTGTCATAGAGCGGGTTGGGGGTGGGTGGGGGAGGGGAAAGCGGGCGTAGGCTATTTCCAAAGAGCACTTAATTTAATTTTTCCTCTGAATGACCCAGGGCTGTTCCATCGGACGGATGGAAGGGTAACGTTGCCTTAAAACAGAAATATGCAGGCGTTGGCTATTTTTGGCAAATGAACGTGTCTTCATTCCCAAAGTGGTTCTCCTTTAATGGCAGGGTGTGGTCCTTCAGCATGGGACCAAGGCACCCCTCATGGACCCCCCCATATCATCTGGGGCTTCAGTTCATCTCATCAGGGGGTGGGAGGAAGGGAGGAACATGGCTAGGCTCATTTCCAGTGGGTTCTCATTAGGTTCCCATCTCGTCATAAACAAGGAATACCTTCTAAGATGCAGAGGCTTCCCAGCCTGGGTCTGTTGTGGGGTCTTTGATTTTTTGTGGTTATGGCCATATTTTCTGGTTTCAGTTTGACTGAGGAACCCATAGGGTGCCCAGAAATAATACGAAAAGTTAAATCTTTTTTTTTTTTTTTTTTTAAGGGGCGGGAGGCAGAGATCCCACAATGAAAGTGCCTGAGTGAGGGGAGAGTTCCCTACAGCAGTGTCTAAAAGGAATTCTGGACTTCAGCCATCAGGGGGCTGGAGTGTAGCCCATGTCCCAAATGAGAAAGTCCCTCTTTGCATCAGCCATATTAGGGGGTCAGTGTCTGTTCCCCAGATGCCTACTGAATCCTACAGCCATACAGAAAACAGCCCTTTCCAAAGAGGGCCCTTGGTTCTCTCTTGATGGGTGCTACGTAGGGATGGACAATGATGCCCTTGATGGGAGTGTGGTCCTGGAGGTGCCCTACCTGTGTCCTGCTGTGCCCCCTACCCACAGGACCTGAGCTTCAAGGTCCCCACCTCCAGCTCATCCCATCTCAACTTTGTTCTGAGGCCAGCATTGGGACAGGCTCAGGATTCACCAGAGTGCAGCCTCCAGGTGCAAAAACCTGCACCCTGGTGAAGGGTGATTTAGATGTGGGGAAGAGGGAAGGAGACATCCTGTGGTTCTAAGAGAAATGGGGCAGAACAGAGGGGTTACCGTTTCAGACTTCTTCCTCCCAGCCTCATTCTGTCCAGGAGGCCGGCCCTTTTCTTGCCAGAAGCAGGTGCTACATACGATGTGCACAGGGTGACAGCATTTCCTAGAGGCTTCATCTGGGATCCCCACCAAGCAGGGGCACCGTCCACGTAAGACAAATCTGAGCAATAGCTTGGCCTCGTTTCTCAGCTCCCGGTTGTGGCTTTGTTTACAAGGCTACCTATTTGGACTTCTGACAGGTGTTACTGATTGCACACACCCCTTCCCCCACACACACATACACACACTTTACAAAAGGTCATTAGGTCAGAGACAGTGCTGGAAGGTTTATGTATAGCCATGTTGTGATCAGTAAGAAATGCTTTGTAGGTCACCCACATTTTTTTTTTGCTGTCCAGAGTTTTCCATATGTGAGTCCTGGTGGCCGTATCTTTCAAAGTGAAAATCCAGATGTGGACTCACTGTTTTGAAATCAGGATGGCACTAGAAAGAGCCAGGCCCTATGACTAATTTTCCTGATTCTGAGTCTTCGAAGGTTTGTCCTGGACACATTCCAGAGAATTTTGTACCCAAACATGAATGCTCAATCCAGCTAACTACTGATACAGGCCTGAGCACTGGTGAGGGAGAGGCCCTTCCTCTTGCTGGCTAATTGACCTCCAGCGAAAGGAGCAGAACTGGCCTGGAGGCCCCAGTCCACCAGGGGAAGGAGGCTGGCTTGTTTTCTGTTGACTCCCTACCGGGTTAGTGGACTTGTCTTGGAACTCTCTAGCTCAGCCTCAATCCCCCACTCCCCCACCCCCCCAATCTCACACAGCTTTAAAAACTTAACTACTTTTATTTAGAAACAAACAGGATGGCAAAGAAGACACCTCCCCCACATCCCTGGGGGTGGGCAGGAAACAGGTCAGGCGTGAGGGTGGGGTTTCTCCCAGCTGTTTCCCCAGGACACCTACTGTGGGTCTGCTGCCTGTACTCATTAGCAAGGTCAGCCTGTGAGCCAGGCTGCCCTTCTCAGAACTGAGAGCCTCGACTTGGGAGTGTCTCTTCCCCAGGAGAAGCTAGGGCCTCTTGAGTTACGAGAACTACCCTGGTATGTGAGTGGAAGGATTTCTCTGTCCCCCATTGCACACTGGTGAGGCCCGGGGTGCCTAGTGCAGGGGAACCCCAGGGCCAGTAACACAAGCCTCCTTGCATTGTGGGGTCGGAGCTCCTGGCCTTCCATGGTGACTGGAGATCCCTGTTGTGGTTTCATTGGTTAGGCCCAGGTGACTGCTTCTCATCCAAAGCCATCGGTGGAACTTCTGTGGGATCCTTTGCCAAAACCCCAAGGCAAAATCCAAGGGTCCAAGGCCATTTCCATCAAGTTCCAGATTTTCTTTCCTATAGGAACTTTTTTTTTTTTTTTTAAACAAAACCCTAGCTCCCAACATGCTTCCAAAGGCCATGTTCTGTCTTTCCTGGATCACTACAGTGAAGTATTACAGTTGTACAGTTCCCAATCTGGCCTTGGCTTGCTCGGATAAAACTTTGTTATGTATTTTGTAAGGCATAGATTCTATATTGTAATGTCCTATGCAAAAGAAAAAAATTAATGAAATTGTAAATTTTATTGTTTTAACATGTATGCATGTTTAGTGACGTTTACATTTTGAAATAAAATTTATGATTCATTATTTTATTTGCCTAGGTGACTCTCTTGAGGGGTGTGGTCAGCCGAGGCTCTGGGAGGGGGACAAGTTAAAATCTGGAGAAATGCCATCCACTGACTGGAGGGGCAGAACCTCAGCTGGGGCTTTGCACAAGATCTCTGGGGACAGTGGGTTGTCTTTTGGGTGCGGGAGACATTTGAGTTCATTGACTTTCTCTCACTCTCGAAGCCAGCAGAAAGGACACAGAGGACATGATGCCCGTGCCCTCAGAGGGTTATATGTGTGTCCTCTAACGTCCTTTTTGTTAGTAGTCACTGTAACAAGTAGGATAATCGACCCAAAGGGGAAGGGGGTTTCACGGGGTCCGCCATAGGCCGTTGGCTCCTTTGCTGTAAGCCTGTGGTGAGGCAGGGTGTCATAGCAAGAGGGAGTGGTGGAGCAGAGCCATTGACCTCCCCACGAGGTGGAAGAGGAGAGGCAGCCCAGCTCCCCCTGTGCCCTTGATGGGCACATCATCATGATCTGAAGACTTAGGCTCTGCCGTCCACCAGCGTTACCACCCTGGGGAGCAAGTCTCCACATGGACACCTGGAGGTTGCTTCCAACCCAAACTCTAATGCTCCCGTAAGCGCCTGCACTCTCCCTGGATGCAGCCGTTCTTTGTCTTAAGATTCTAGACAATGCCCATTTCTAGCCACAGAAGTCACAAGCCAAAGTTCACTGCCTAGGGAAGAGGGAAGAGAGTTGATGCCTGTCGACACCAGAGGCCAAGTTCTCTGTGATCTTTTACTGTCCATGGTTGCTGTGGATGCCAGCAATGGAAAACAGCTAGCAGGGTCAGGTGAGTGACTGGGTCATCCCCACCTCATCCCCACCCCACCGTCACCCCCGGTCTGTAACAACAGTAGCATGTGGGTTGGGAGATTGGGGGGGGGGTGGTATAGTTGAGACCCACATCCTCAGCTTTCATCCACAGTGGCATCCATGCTGTTTCAATCTGCACCTGTAAGTAAAACCCACCAAGAAATATTAACAAAAGAAGGCATTTCAGTTGAACACAGGTTTTCCTGAAGCCACACTGACCCTGTCATCACTTCCTGGTAGACACTGGTTTCTAAATCAGGACAGATGTATGTGCTTAAAGCACCAGGTACATTAACAGCTATAGACAAACACTCATCTTAAAACGTGTTGGCCCAAGATACTTTGCCGCCAGTTCTCAGAGTCTTGCCCCAGGACAGCGCTGTTCACCTCCTCTGCAAAGTTCCCGTATTGTGTAGGAACTTCCGCAGATAGGTGGGTCAGCTTCCATAAACGGTGTGGGGGAAAGGATCCTGGATGCTTTAAAAATACCCACAGGAAAAAGAAATGCCCGTCAGTCATGACGTCACTTCTGAGAGCTCTTTCCAAGAGGGAAGCAGCATTGACAGCCCACCTCAGGAACTGGGGATCTCCTGAGACCTTAGGAAACAAAACACATCTTCTAAGAAGCCTCAGTTTTTTTCTGACACTTGAAAGTGGAATTAATTAGTACATGGGACATCCAAGTGGCACATCCTTTCTGTCTTCCTGGGACAAGGTAAAGAGGCCCCTGTGCAGTTTGTGGTAGTTTGGTGGAGTGCCACATCTGCCTGTATCCAGGTCGGGGGAGGGGAGGGGTCAGATTGGGGGTGTGGCAGGCTACCATCATCCCAGGGAGCTGATTCTGCCTGTTTTTTTTTTAAGTTTTTATTTATTCATTATGTCTTTAACATCAAGCATCGTGATCCCAGACATTTCCCCGTCCCTTCATATCTGTGCTCTGCCCTTACATCTCTGTAAAAATAAAATAAATTTCAGAGAAGAAGAAAAAAGGAAAAATTTTGTCATGGAAGCTGTAGTGTGACATAGTCACACAATAAATCCTTTTGTCCATATATCTTTACTTGCAGGTGTTCATTGCAAAGAGTCATTGATCTGGTTCGAGGCCTCTGGTCTCTGCCACACCATCAATGCTGGCCTCTCACTGGGACTCTTCTTGGATATCCTGTCGTTGCCCTGTGTCGTGGAGATTCTGCAGCTTTTGGCCTGCCCCTTCACATGCTCCTTCAGATCATAGATGGAGTGGATGTTGGGGTGGGCCAACTCATAACCCTGGTTCTGGACCTGGGTAGTTGCAGGGTTGGTCAGCTGGCCAGCTCTCCCCTGCCCTCACCACCAGGGTGAGCTCTCCAGCACTGCCCTGGCTAGTTCACCCCTTGCAGCAATGAGCAAGGGGCAGGGCCAGTTCTGCTTTCACACCCTCAGGGTTGGCCCATCTGGACCATCAGGGCCAGCTCTACTGTGCTGCCCAGGTGAGGTGCAGGGCCTGCCTTCCTGAGTACCACAGCTGGTGAGGGGCAGGGGCAGCTCTCCCACCTGCCTCAGGCATTGAGGGGTGTATGTGGGGGGGAGGACATCTCTTCCCCACCCATATGGCAGATGAGTGGGACCAGATCTCTCATGCCCAGACAAGATGCAGGGCCCACCTTCTTGAGTGTTGCAGCTGGTAATGGGGAGAGTCAGTTCCCTCAACAGCTGGAGGCTGTAGGGGATGAGGGAGGACAACTTTCCTTGGCCCCCACCACTACACCACAGATGGAAAGAGGCACCAGCAGCCAAGCCCCTCTCACACCCTGAAAGCTGGCTCACCCATGCCCTCGTCTACAGGCTCAACTCTACTGTGCTGCCCAGGCGAGGTGCAGGGCCTGTTCTCCCTAGTGCTGCAGCTGGTGAGGAGTTGAGAATCTGCCTCTTCAAGGATGGGCTTACCATGTGTCCTAATCTGTCCTCTGCTGTTGGGAATGTGGTGTCACAGTGAAGGTTAGCTATAAAGATGAGGTTTGTTTTGGCTCAGCCCTACCTGCAGACGCAAGCAAGGTCTACTGCCCACATCTGATAGCCTTCCTCCAGGCACATACCATGAGGCACGTGTGTGCATATATCCCCTTGGGACTCTCTTTGTTATGAATGAATCAACCAGTCAGTTATGGATGCTTCACCCTGATAACGTACACCTAACCATCTCCCAAATACCGCACTCTAAACATCACAGTTGGGTTGAATTTCCACCATTTTTACCACTCACCATGGTTAAACTCGAGCATGACTTTCTGTCAGGAATGAGCCATAGGCAAACCACAGCACCACCCTTGGTACCAGCTCGCAGACCGTGAGCACCCCATTGCTTGAGGCGTTCAAGCAGATGGTAAAACACTGCTTGGCAGGAACACCGCGAAGAAAGCTGTGTTCTAGAAGAGTAGCCCGAGCACGCACGAGATGGGTCGTTCTGTTTCTAGGCGACTCCCGGGGCATGATCATGCAGAGCCTTGGAAACACTCCGGTCACTTGCACAGGACCTTAAACCACAGGTTAGGCATGTGATTTGTACTGAGCATACAGAGGACTCAACCTCTCCAATCAAATCTCATATGGCCCATGATAGAGCACTTACTGTGAGCAACACTCCTGAGGTCTGCTACATGCAAAGCAGTGTGATCAGGTAAAGACCCAACTTCTGACAGCCGCATCCTGTCTGCCTGACTGTCCTGCTCCAACAAGGGTCAAGGACTTTGACTCCACAGCAGTGGTATAAAGGCTAGGCCAGTTTTGACAGGTGGTTTTGAAAACGTTCATCCTGGACTCATTCCCTATTACTGCTGCTTTAATAAGCTTCCCCAGACAGCCACTGAAGGCAACACACATTGAATTTTTTTTTTTTCTTATAAAAGCTTGTCAAGGTGTCAGCACGACTGGTTCCTTCTGAAGGCTTTTCGAGTCCCAAGTCCATTCCTTGACTTGTAACCCCATGGTCTCTTCCAAGCCATCAGGCATCGGGGGAGAGTAGTCATCTCTCCTCTGGCATCTCCTGCCTCTGTGATTGCATCTGACCTACCTGGTAACCCACGTCCATCTCTCCACCTATCCCAGCCTGCATGCCCTTCCTGCACCCTTCTGAGTCTCCAGCAGAGCAGTAGCCAGGCTGCAGTGAAGGATCGGAAGGGGTGGGAAAGGCCCCAGTTCCCACACGGTCCCCAGAACTGGGTATTTCTTTACCCTGTGTGGGCCTTCATGGTTTTTACTTCACCGTTGATTCCAGATTGCGCCTGGAAAACGGTCCCCATCCTGCCCCTCCATCCCTGCAAGTGTGCCCAACCTTCGTCAAAGCAGTGACCATGCAGCCCTGGACAGGGCTTGGGTCTCCGTGCTGAGACCAGCCTGGGCTTCCCATCTTGAACATGGCTTGTGCAGCCACAGTGAGCCCGCTCTGGATTTTGTTCCCTCCTGGGAAGCAGGCTTGGGCTGTGGTCTGTGGAGGGTGAAGTTCACAGTGAGGCGGCAGAGGCCAGGAGCCAAGTCAGCAGAGCAGGGCCTTGTGCCGAGCCTTCAGGCCCCTCCCTCAGGGTCTGGCCTGGATCCCCGACACTTTTGGGAAACCGTTTGCAGCCCTACCGTGTTGTCTCAGTGTGGATGAAGACCAAGACGAACCCAGGATGAGGGGTTGTCTGGCTCACACTTGATCAGCTGCCTAGACACCTGGACCAGCACCTAGCTCGGCTTCTCTACTTCCCACTACTGTCTGATTGATGCATCTGCACCCATGGGCCGGATGCTACTCCGTGAGCACCCTCAGCAAGAGGCACGAGTAGTTCTGATTCATATCACAGAAAAGATAAGCCCAGAGAGGTAAGGTGCCATCCAAGGTTGTGCCGCTCACAGAGGCCAGAGATTCCTGGCTTCGAGCTTTGAGCTAAGAGTTATTATAACCTCTCTGGGGTTGCTCCTGCCCGGTTGTTGATAACATAAGGATGTCCCCCCACCCCATGACACAGAGCTCAATACTGATGTCTTTTCTGACTCCTTTTTTTCCAGGGCCTAAGCCACAGCCAATGGTGGGCTTTTACCCTGATACCTGCCATGGCCTCCAAGATGAAGTACTACTGTCTCTGGGGGCCCAGGGCTAGGCGCAGCAGGGTAAGGCCCTCCATGAAGTCAAGCAGCAATGACTTCC